AAAAAAAAAAAAAAGGAATAACAGCGAGGCGGGAAAGAACTAACCTTTGCTGGCTTTGATGTTGATGTTCCTCCAGGTATGAGGCCTTGCTGTGCGAGAAGTTAAAAGAGTTGGGCGTGGCGTTTCAGTCTGAAGAGGAGTTAAGGGCTGCTGGATTCAGCAAGACGCCAGACGCAAAACTCGATGTGCCCATCGCTGTAAGAGGCAGGGTTGTGAATTGGATTGATAGCAAAGCTTCCTTTGGTGACGAGTACATGCACAGGATGCAGACAATGGAGCAGTTCCAGAGGTAAGGGGGTCCATCACTTTTGCATTGAAAATGTTGTGCTCACCTTTAGTCAACGTTTGGTTCGCTGTTATTAGTATGTAACGTTGTGCTTGCCTCTGTGATTAACTCTGTGCTTCAGTGATTGACTCTGCGTTAAAAGCTGTGCGAAACTGCGTTATGAACTCTGTGCAGAACTCCGCAGTGAACACTGTGCTTAACTGTGCTTAACTGAGCTGAGTGATTGAGCTGAACTGTGCGCTGAACTGTGTGCTGAACTGTGCGCTGAACTCTATGCTGAACACTATCCTCTTTTTTTTTTTTTTTTTTTTTAACACGCCCCCATCAGTGTTAGTGGTGCTGATAAGAGCAGACACCGCTAACACTTGGGGGGGAGCTCCATCTATTGGTGGGGAGCGGCACCTGCTGGAAAACGGGTCCAGCGTCCCTTACATGGGCAGAATTCGAACCATATCAGAAGAACAGAGCTGTGGAATATTCCTGCCAGCATTGATTACCCTGGGGTCAAGGGGATTGACTGAGCAGGATGTTGGGGGGGGGGGGGGACCTCTTCACCCTGAAACTGGCGCCAGATACCTGCTGCTACACCCTGGTTCCTCCCACCCCCTACCTTTGAGATATACCTTCTATTGATGCTGCTTGCCCACTCGTACCACTCCATCCCATTGCATGTCTACCACCTGCTGGAAACCGGGTCCAGCATCCCTCTTAAGAAAAACATGAGATGAGTTGCGGAAGAACACAGGTGCTGGAAACCGGGTCCTGCGTCCCATCACTTTCTATTATCCTAGACCTGT